GAAACCTCTACGATACGTGACAGATAAGTAGTATGGAATACACCACTATTACCAATGAAACAAATGTGAGATCTCTCGAAGGAGTTCGTAATGCTTTGGAAAGCGCACGCCAAAAGCTGAAAGAGTTCAAGTGGAAGCCCTGATTTTTTTTATTATATATATATTTTTTTGCTTTTATAATCTCATGTAGAGACATTTCATTTGCTTATTTATTAGCTAGTGACATATTAATGTACTTAGCATTGTTTCTTTGGTTTAATAAAATTCTTGAATTTTTTTTACACATTTTTTTTTTATTTTTTTGCTGAGACTGAACTTAAAGTTTTCTTTAAGCTGCCTACGTACCCTCCGATGAAAGGGATCAAGTCATAACGTAGTTCAAATACAAGATACTTTTTTTTAGGCCGTTCACCTTTTTAACTTATGCGGGCCAGGAGTATCATGTAGTTTAGACTCTTACGATAAGAAGTGTTTACATTTCACGCATAAAATCTTTTAAGAAATTTGCCGTTAATCGGACCAATTCTCAATCCATCTTTATCAACGATCTTATATGCTCCATTTGTGTAAACTTCATTGATGATGTAGGGTCCATCCCATTTAGGTGTGAACTTATTCCCTGTGTGACACGTCATGATGATAGGTCTTCGAACAGCAAGTACCATATCACCAACTTGAAATGACCGAGGCCGAACATTTTTATTGAAGGCTTTGGTCATTCGAGCCTGATAGCATTCCAATGTTTGATGCGCATCAAGTCTCTTTTCRTCAAGTGCTTCTAACTCTTGAAGGCGTAATTTTGCATTATCTTCAGTGGTTAAACCTTCTAGCACTGCCATTCTTAGTGATGGAATTTCTCGCTCCAATGGAAGGATAGCTTCTACACCGTAAACTAAAGAGTAAGGCGTAGCTCCTGTAGGAGTACGATGAGTAGTTCGATAAGCCCATAACACTTCACCGATCTTTTCTTGCCAGTCTCTTTTTGTCTTGGAGACCACATTCTTCAATAAGTTGCATAATGTCTTGTTGAATGCTTCTGCCAACCCATTCGCTGCAGCATTATACATGGACGATTTATATTGCTTGAAGCTAAACTTTTCACATAGTTTGTCCATCAGACTATTGGAGAATTGTCTACCATTGTCAGTGACAATTCGTTGAGGTATTCCGTACCGAAAAATTATATGAGTTCGGACGAAATTTACAATGTTCTCTTTCTTTGCCTCTTTTAGTGCAATCGCTTCAGCTCACCTTGAAAGATAATCAGTCGCTGCGAGTATGTAAGAATGTCCAGCTGAAGATTTGGGTGTTATAGGACCGACAAGGTCAAGTCCCCAAGATTCCTATGGCCACGAAGCTACTGTGGGGTGTAGAGGCTCTAGTGGCTGATGTAGGAAATTAGCGTGAATCTGACAAGCTTCACACTTCTTCGCATATTCCATAGAATCTTGAACCATTGCGGGCCAATAATAACTCATTCTCTTTAATCGGAAATGGAGCTTTGGTCCAGATTGGTGAGCACCACAAACTCCCGAGTGTGCTTCTTCTAATGCCTTAGTTGATTCTTCCTTTCCCAAACATCGAAGGAAGAGGCSTTCAAATGAACGACGGTACAAAGTATCTTTGTAGTAGATAAATCGAGTAGCTCTTCTACGTATTTCAGTCTTATGTCGGAGATCCACTGGAAGCTTTCCATGTTGAAGATAATCTAGAATGGACTGTCGCCAATCTTCTTCTTCAATAATGCAAACTGATATAGCATTTGCTTCTTGATGCTCACTTTCGATTGGTGGGGTGACCCATTTCTGGCAGAGTGAAATGTGCAACGTCTCATCTTCTGAAACCATAAGAGCAATAGCCAAATTTGCTAGGGCATCTGCCTTTTTGTTTTCCGAACGAGGAACATGCTCTAGTGTTACACCATCAAACCTCTCCAGTAGTCGTCTCGCATAAACGAAGTAAGGCTTAAGGTCTTCGTGCTTCACATCATACTCCAGCAGAAGTTGGTTGATTATCAACTTCGAATCGCCATAGATCTCAATGTATGTTATTCCGATTTCTATGGCAATTTGAAGTCCTATGATGAGCGCTTGATATTCAGCAACGTTGTTTGAACACAATTCACCAAGTGTAAAGCTATAGGGTAACATATGTTTCTCAGGTGAGACAAAGACAACACCTATCCCCGCTCCATTTCTTCGTGCTGCACCATCAAAGTACATGGTCTAAGGTTACTTTACTTCAACATAGAAWACTTCTTCATCAGGCAAGTCCTCGCACAATTTCCAATCTGATGGGACTGGATGATTCGCTAGGAAGTCTGTCAATGCTTGCCCTTTCATTGCCTTTTGCGGTACGCAAACAATATCATACTGTTGGAGCAAAATAGCCCATTGTGTCAAACGTCCCGAAATGATCGGCCTCGACAAGATATATTTCATTGGATYAGCATTAGCAACTAGATGCACCGTAAAGGCTTGTATATAGTGCCTTAATTTATTGATAGCGAAGAAGAGAGAAAGACACATCTTCTCAATTGGAGAGTAGTTTAACTCAGCTCCGATTAAGGTTCTACTCAAGTAATAAAGGGCTCGTTCTTTCCCTTTTTCTCCTTCTTGCGCCAACAACGCTCCGAGCGATCTTTCTTGCACCGTGATATATAATATCAACGGCTTTCCTGCTATGGGTGCACCTAAGACGGGTGGATTAAGCAAGTATTTTTTTATGCTTTCAAAAGCATTTTCACATGCTTGATCCCACTCGAAACTTGTATCCTTCCTCATCAATCTCTGGAAAGGTTGGCATCGGCCAGCTAGGTTAGAGATGAATCTCCTGATATAGGCCAGACGACCCTGAAGGCTTCTCAGCTCATGTAAGTTCCTAGGTCTTGGTATTTTTTGAATAGCGTCAATCTTTGACTGATCGATTTCGATTCCCTGATGTCTTATAATGAAACCAAGGAACTTTCCCGAAGTAACTCCRAATGCACACTTGARAGGATTCATCTTTAATTAATACTTTCTCAAGCGATCAAAGACTACTTTTAGATCCCCTAGATGATCTTGTCGCTTTTTGAACTTAACCATGAGATCGTCAACGTAACATTCAACATGTTTATGTAGCATGTCATCAAAGACCTTTTGCATGGCGCGCTGATAAGTGGCACCTGCATTTTTTAGTCCGAAGGGCATTACTTTATAACAATATATCCCTTTCGGAGTTCCAAATGCTGTCATTTCTTCGTCTTCGAGTGCCATCCGAATTTGATTGTATCCTGATGATCCATCCATGAAAGATAASGATTCATGTCCTGTAGTAGCATCAACCATGATTTCAGTGATTGGTAATGGAAAATCATCCTTGGGACATGCATTGTTTAAGTCAYGAAAATCAACGCACACACGAAGTTGGCCGTTCTTCTTTCTTACCGGAACAATGTTTGCTATCCATGTTGGATATTTCACTTCACGGATGAAACTCGCCTCTATCAATTTATTGACCTCAACTTCGATTTGAGGTATAAGTTCTGGTTGAAATCGACGTTGTGCTTGTTTCACTRGCCGATATCCTTGTTTAATTGCAAGGTGATGGACTGCCACTTTTGGATAAAGTCCTGGCATTTCTTTGTATGACCAAGCAAAAATATCTMTGTATGTGATGAGTAGGTTTATATATTTACTTTCTTCATCACGAGTAAGTGACGCACTTATGAAGGTTGGACGCGGATCTTCTATCGTGCCAAGATTTACTTYCTTAAGTTCGTCAACTGTTGGCTGATTGCCATCTTCTAATGATGATGGGGCTTCTTCGACATCTTCTTCAGATGTTTCAGTGTCTGAGGCCTCTTCAACAGTAACATGGCAACATTCGGCCTTATCTTCCTCGTATTCTTCACTCTCATCCAACGGTTTCCGATGATAGTATGTGGCTTCACCTTCAAGGAGCCCTCCGTGCTTACAAAAATACGAGTCCTTCTTCTCATTCTGGAGGGAACACTACTACAGATTTCTTTGTCACCTTTCGTCTCAGTAAATTGCCTCTTTTTTGAAGCTTCTCCTGTCCCTTCATGTCCTAGGCGTTCGAAAACTGATGCAGAACATTTGTCCGTATTTTTTGCTGG